ATCTCATCCTCTGCCGTCCTCTTCTCCTTTGGCCTTCAATCTTTCCCAGCATCAGGGTCTTCTCCAAAGAGTCCTCTCTTCGCATTAGGTGATCAAGCTGAGCTTGAGCTTCATTATCCTTCCAATGAGCAGTCAGGGTTGATTTCCTTTAAGACTGAAAACAAGTACTACCTGTAGTTTATTAAGTGGTACCTGGATCCTCATCCAAAGCAGTACGGCAGTCTATGGCAGATGCTTGAGGATGTAAGGAGGAACAACTTGAGTTTACAGGAGCATCTTCTTGGGTCACCATTGAAGAAGAGGCAGATTGCCAGTAGGTTCCTTAGTGGGTATGTTAGGCTAAACAGTCCTCTGGGAACATTTGTGCAGGTTTGCTCAATACTGCAATTCTGCCAAGGATGTGAAAGCATAGGGGGAATTTATTTTGTGCACTGTCTTTTGGGCCCTTAGGTTCCACTCTTGACAGCCATTAGTGGGCTTCTGATAATGTAATTTCAAAGGAATGTCTGTTTTCTTGAGCAATTTAAAAGAAGAGTGCACTGAAAGGGTGATCCAACAGACCATCTCCATTTAAATTGCACACTTTGTGTACTCTGCCAATTTCTGTGCCCAAGAAAAGGTTTAAATCCCCAACTCCCCACTGAGATGGGGGTGGGAATGAGTGCATGCAGGTCTGAGTGTATACACATAAGTATGCCTCCCCAACCATTGCCCATGTGGTACTTGAGGGGGCAGAGTTTGCTCCCCCTTGCTTTGGGCTGGCTCTATATATCAATAGTAGCGACTTCATCCAAAGGCTAAACTGAACAATTGTTTCCTGCTTGTCAGTGTTCTGGAGGGATCTGAGTGGACTAGAGGCATCTGATCTGGTAGGACATCTATATTTAGAAACTTTCAGGCATCTCTGTTTGAGTAGCCCAACTATATTTGTATATCACCAGACTGGGAAATGCCTTTACACCTTTTCCCTGTGGGTGCTAATAAAAGTTTGCTATAGCAGACAAGGTGATAGGTTGCCTTGGGTGCAAATCTCTGCTTGGATGGTCTTGCAGGACCTCCAGCACGACTTTCATTAATTTGTGGGATCTGCCACCAAAATATAGGACGGTGGATTAGCTAGCTTTGAAGAAGGAGGGGTGGATTCTTTGGACAACTTCAGACTTCCTATAAGGCCTTTCACAGGTTGTTAAGTCTCTCTGTTCAGGAACTTGGAAACAACAGAGACAGACTCCATCATGGGCTTTTTCAAAAGGTCTTCACAAATTTGTATGAAAGGCAACAATAGCAAGGGAACCTCTAAACCAGGGGTTCTCAATCTCAACTTTGGGATGTGCAGACCAACTCCCAGCATGCTGGCTGGGGAATTCTGGGAGTTGAAGTCCACACATCTTAAAGTTGCCAAGGTTGAGAAACACTACTGTAAATCGAAGGGGGGGGGGGGGGGGGAGACCCTGCAGGAAACAGCAATATAGACCAGCCCAGCAGAATCTGGTTTTCCAGTGGCAGAGGTTTTCCCTCTCTCCCTTTAAGACTCACACACACAGAGGCTCCAGTTTTAAAAATCCCCCTATCCTGGTTGTGGAATTCTGGGAGTGGTCAGTCCCTGCCCAGATGGAGGGCGCTAGGCTGGGGAAGGCTGAGAAGATAGCTGTTCTTCCCCTTACTTCCCCATTCATGTTTCATTACTTCAGGATTCTCAAACTTTACAGTACTGTGACTTCCTAAAGATAAATGAATGATAAGTAAACAAGTAACGATTCCATGGGGTATGGACCAGGCGAGAAATAAATATGCCACTTACTTTTAACAATTAAATGCTCCTGTATCATACAGATTCTTGAACTTTGCAATACCACACTTGCTGCCTTAAAACTGCTTAAAAGCAGGAGCACTATCAAAACTTGCTCTAGGCTTTGTCTTTATGACTTCCACCAAGTTATTCACAAACTCCCCCAGGGGTTGCCCCTGACAAGCTGAGAAACCTTGTATTTTCCATACTCCCTCCACCCCACCCGCACAGCCCTCAGCGGCTTCAGGAATAAAGGGAACGCTAGAAAAACTGCTGAGAGATGTTGCTTTATTAGAACACGAGGGCGTGGCAGCTGTTCACAGTTTAAAATGTATATAGAGAGTGAAAAACTGTACTGAAGAGAAGCAGAACTGGGTTTGGGTGGCACCCGGTGCTACTAACATAAGGTTGGTGGCTAAAAGGGGAGAGACAGTCGGGGAAAAGCCACCAGTAGAGTTTAAAAGCAGAGTTTGAGCAAAGATGGAGAGGTCCCTGGGCTCCTCTTTTGGCTTCCCGAAGACGGCGAAAAGAAAGCAATCCACGTGATGTTTACCCAGACCTGTTCCCTGCAGGTGTGTTTTCAATACCTGGAAAGAGCTGGACAAGCCAGAATGGAGTCTTAGAGGACTCCTGGGGTCCTGCAAGGAAGCTCTTGTGGAAGGCTGTGGAACTAAAATTTGCACCACCACCCCAGCCAATCCTGAGCATTGAAGGAGCATTAACAGTCCTGAGCCTCTCACCCACGGCCTAAGGCCAGTTCTAAAGTCTCTAAGCTCCTCTTTCTAGTCTGTTCTAAAGCCAATGCAACTCACTGCAGCCCCAGGTTTCTTCCCCCAGCCAGGTGGTCGCCAGCAATCCCTCTTCCTTCACTTCGAATGACCATTTGCTGGGCCACCTAAGGGCAAGGAGAAGAAAACCCACACAAGCTAGAGAGAAAGAGAGAGAAGGGGATGGAGCATCCAGCCAAGGCCCGTTTTCCTGCCCTCTCCCACAAAATACACCCAGACCCTCGGGGTTTCTTCTCACCTCTGCAGCCCCAGGCAGCGCAAAGATCTCTTTTGCCGCCCCGGGCTGCTCCTGCAAAGGGCTCGTTGATGTTCCGATCAACTCCGGAGGCTGGGAAGTCTTTCTGGGCAGGAGAGCCAAGTCTGCTGTCCCCACCCCACTCAGTCAACCTACAGTCCAGGGGGGCACACCAGACCAAAGTCATGTACCAGTCCTTGGGGGGCCGGGTGGAGGAAGAGGGGCGGGAGCTGGGAGGGAGGAAGGGACAGTCTCCAAGCCTGATTCCTCAAAAGTCATCACCTGCAGGCTGGCCTTAGTTTCTGGCTGCTATGACGACCGACAGGGCTACGCCCCCCAGCGCTACAGCAGTGGCGCCAAACAGCCACTTCCAAGGGATGGTCTGGGAAGGAGAAAAAGGTAAAAAAAAGTGACTGCTAAAAGCAAGAATGCAAGACCCCTTACCTGGGAACTGGCATATCCTGTGGAGCTCAGTCAGGATCACTGAAATCACACCCTTTGTGTAACCTTGCATTGCCCCTTACATTTTTGTCCTATTTTTCTGCTCCATAGCTCAAACTTGCAAACTTGGTTTCCTCCAACACCACCCTCTCATTTTATTCTTCCAATAATGAGGCAGGTCATACTTGGAATAGGCTCTGCCAAGCAAACCCTGCTAGCACGGTGGGACAAGGACTGAAACGAGGCTAGGAAGATTTCACAAATGCTTTCTGACCCCTTAGTAATAGCTCCACTCTGGGTCCCAGGACTGGGAAAGAAGAGAGCTTACAATGGAGGAGTTGAAAGCATTCTGCCCCACTGCCTCTCCGTAAGGAACGCATTGGGATATTTTCTGATTTTTTTCCCTCCATAGCCTCTAGCCTGATCCAGCCCACTTGGAAACCCCATCTTTCTCTTGCCAGCTTCTCCCTGCACCCCCAAAATTGTCATCCTGGTGGACTGACTGAGGGACAGAGTCCCAACCCCCTTTACAGGTAGACCTCACTTAACAACTGCCCTGTTTAGTGACCATTCAGAGTTACAATGCTGCTGAAAAAGTAACTTTATGACCTGTCCTTGCATTTACAACCGTTGCAGCATCCCACAGTCATGTGATCACTATCTGTGTGCTTCGCAACCAGCTTCCGACAAACAGTCAGTGGAGAAGCTGGCAGTAATATTGCAAGTTGTGGTCGCGTGATATCTCGCTTAACAACTTGCAGTGACTCGCTTAACAACTAAATGGGAAGTGATGTTGTAAGTCCATTGCGGTCACATGTTTTGCTTAGCGACAGAGTTGTTGGTCCCAATTGTGGTCACTAAGTGAGGACTACCTGTAATTCCTTTCCATTATTCTGTTTGACTGGAAAGAAAAAAAATCCAAAACAGAAATAAGGCTAGCAATGAAACTATCCTGAAGCAATTAAGCATATTACAGAGATGGATTTCAACAGCCTTTCTGAAAATGAGAGTGGGAGGCGGTATGGGCACATTACACAATTAAAAGGCAGATTAGAAAATTGTTTTCTGCATGTCTGATGGATGCCTTTGGAACAAGAAATGTCGTCAAAGAGGCTTCTCTTGTAGTTCTTAATAATCAGATAGGCATTTCTTTAGACTAATGCTTTTCAAACTTGGCAATGTTAAGATGTGTGGACTTCAGCTCCCATGCTGGCTGGGGAATTTGGGGAGTTGAAGTCCACACATCTTAAAGTTGCCAAGTTTGAAAAACACTGCCTTAGACAAACAGGCCCTAACCTGTTTAGACTTTGAAGATAGAAAGAACATCTTAAAATGAGCATAGAAAGCAAGTGGCAACTTCTGTAGGCCACTGTGTCCGTTCAAAAGGCCAGAGACCTAATGGCCTGCAGAAGTTCCCACTTGCTTTCTATGCTCGTAATACAGCTGTAGTACACAAGCGATCCACTCAATTTCCTCTTTTTTCCCCACCTCCAGCCCAGTGGATACTTGTTCCTTGCCACCTACCCGGGAGGACTTATCTTTGCACTTTGCTGGGGGGGTGCTAGACCCGGTGTTTCCCAGCATCTTGCGGTACATCTCTGTCTCAATGCTCTTTTGGTCAGCGTGCTTCTTCGCCAGCTTTGAGAGTTCTGTGTGAATGGTCTGGAGGCCGATGGAAAAGAGGGTGATGTGATTTGGTGTCCCATTAAGAAGGCAAGAAGAACACTACTGCATCAGCCCACCTAGTTTGCTGCAAAGTTGGCCAACACAATTCTAGAAAATCATCTTGGGCAGGGCATGAAGGCTCTAACGTTCCTTGTGTTCCTGTTTTTCATAGGCAGGCAGTCTTTGAACAGGAGAGATTCATCTGAGCCAGATTTTGGCTACTGTCCTCAAAAGAATCCCATTTCAAGGGCCCCCAACTTTGGGGGGCATTTCTGAAATTTTCCTTGCCCATCACAGGTGCTCACAGACCCTCTTCAAAAAGATGGTCACAGAACAACCATTCATAAGATGGCATATGGATAAGGACGTTCCCCACCTTCAGCCCTTCAAAATGTCCTCTATCACTCCTTGGTGCTCTCTGAGCTTGGTTGAGCGGGGCAAGCTGCTGTATATAAACAGGGAGCAAACCCCACACTCACTTGCACTGATGATGTTACCTAGTCGGGTAATGAAACGTCTGCAAGTAAACAACCACGTTCGGAGAGCACCAAGGACTCTACAGGTCAACCCTGAGCTATAGAGATTCTCTTCCATTATCCTCTATCAGCCCAGTTGATCTTTCCCCATTTTTGGGGAGGATGGACCCTCTTCCAAACAAACCCATTGGGCTGCAACCACTCCCTGTTTTTTTTTAGAAAGAATGCCAATGGGGCATGTGTGGTACCCAGAGGCATTCTTATGTAAATAAAGATACTAGTGACTTGCCACATTCCCAACAATGATTATTTTCAATGGAAAGGCATTTAAGAAATAAAGGCAAAGTAACATTTCATTGAAAAACAATTTTCTGCAATGTCCTAAAAAGATTATATTCTGGGAAGAAGTAATTACAAATATTTAATTTTTGAATCACAGCTTAATATTTTTGGACAACCATTTCCTTTTAACTATATACCTACTACATGGAAATTGATGGCTGAACAACAAAAATGGATTCTCCGTGGCCTTTTTATTGCTAAGAGTCTAATCCATAACACTGGAAAGATAAATTCATGGCTCTTATTACTCTGTGGATTGAAGACCTGATTGTTATCTGCAATTTAGGAATGAGTTGCTTACAAATACCCATTATGTATGGACAATTACAACAAAACATGGTCACTTTAATAAAAATTGTTGTATATGTGTATGTGTATGTTTG